ACTCTCAAAAAAGCATGGGAAACTATTAAAGGAGAAGAGCAAATGATGACATTCCTGTTTTAGAAAGAGCCCTTGGTGGCACTGTGCAAGGTGACAGGAAGAGGAAGAAACTGGACACAGGGACACTAGCTAAGAAAGTTAAGGGGATTCTTTCTCTCCTCTGGCTGCCTGAAGATCCATCACCATCATGACTGACACAGTAACTACCCAAACTTCAGCAGAAACAAATGATCATGGACATCCTCACCCTGGGAAGGCAACAGTACCTAAGGCAGAAATTGGGGGAAACTAGCTAAAATGTATACGACAAGCCCTGATGTCATCTTTGTATTTGGATTCAGAATCCATTTTGGAGGTGGCGAGACAACCGGCCTTGGCATGATTTACAATTCCTTGGATTATGCAAAGAAAAACGAACCCAAACATAGACTTGCAAGACATGGCCTGTATGAGCAGAGAAAGACCTCAAGAAAACTGGGGATGCAAGAATAGAAGGAAGAAAGTCGGGAAGACCGCAAAGGCCAGGGTGGGGGCGGGGTGCTGGCACAGAGCGAGCGGGATTCTGGACGACAGGAAGAGCAGATGCTGCAGTGACTCTATCTGCACCTGTGGCGACTGTGCAGCTAGACTAGGGAAAAAAATGGTTAAGAGGAATTGAAGCAAAAGTGCAGTCACAGTAAGAAAGGGGAGAGAATCACGAAGATTTCAGACTGGAGAGCAGTATTTTTTCCTATTCTTTTTTACCACCATCCACATTAAGAAATACACTTTAAAGTCATAACCCAGTGCACATGCTTATAAGTGTAAACACGTGTGCCCACAAATACATATGTGTATGTGTGTGCATCACCTTATTCCCCCACAACACAGGGAAATAAAAGCAACACGAGGAGTGATAAATAGCAGGTCTGTCCTACATAGATGTCTCCTTAAGTAATGATTTATCATTTGATGTGACTTGCTGTTCTTTTGTAGTCTTCCTGGTTGATCACACCACATGGCTCAATTAGCTATTCATGGGCATACATCACAGCCAAGCATTAGCGAAGCTCCTTATCTGTGCTGCTGATTTCCGCATGATATTTCTGGAGTCAATCTGTTGTTAGCCTTAAAATTAAATGAAAGAGGCTGCTATAGCCAACTGTTACTTCATTTTATGGATTATTCAGTAAATGTCTGAAGCCCTGGAACATAGTTTCTTAAAAATACGTTAAAGTGTGATGCCAATTTTAATTTTGGTCTCGTCGGCCCTACCCAACAGAGTTAGAATCGGCTGGTTTTCTCTTGTGACATCGCAGGCAAAGGCAATGTGGACTCCTTCAGTGCTGGATGAATGTATGTATGGGTGTGGTCCCCTCACTGCCAATAGGCATTTTTGGGGAAACTTGTTTATGAGGTACTTTCATGTACATAATTTGCATGGCTAGCACTTATTGGGCATTGAGTGATATGCCACGTGCTGTGCTAAATAAGTCACATGTATTATCTCAGAGTTTTCAAACCATATCTGTAAGTACTGTTCAGTTTACAGAAGATGAAATGGATGCTTACAAAACTAAAGGAACTTACCCAAGGCTGCAAAGCCACTAAGGGATGAGCCATGATTCAAACACAGATTTGTCTGTCTTTAGAAGCCAAACCCTTAAACCACTGGACTGCATCTCATCTGTCCCTGTAAATATATTTCTCTCAGGCTTAGTGATGCCAATTGATTTACTTAAGACAATAAGCAAATGAGCAGTAACAGCAACTAACAGCAGTAACAGTAACTCAACCCATCGGTGCTGTCAGTGCTCCCTTACCACCTCCTCTGTCCCACCTTCAATACCCTGATGCTGGCCTGGTCAGCAGAATCCATGGGCAGAAAACCTGCATTAAACTCAGAAAAAAGAAGAGAGAAGCTATCTGAGGATCACGGGGACAGAGGAAATCTCTCTATCTCACCCCCCCCCCCGTTATTTTACCACTTAAAGTCAAAAGAGAAACAGAGGAAAGAATGCAGATTTAGATGTGGCAAGGAAAAAACCGAAACTGAGTATTTCTCGAGCCTAATTTAAGGCAGCTGTATAATCTATATGCTAGGAGGCAGAGAAACAGTTCAAATGACAGAAAAGAGGTGGTATATGGATTAAATAAGAACATGTGCTTAAATATTTAAAGACCTTCAGAATTGTAACATGTGAAAGCCAGTAACAAAAATGGAAATAAATGAAGTTAATACATCATTTTTTTCATAAGAGACAGAATAAAGAAAAGTAGTCTTACTACTGGCTGTTCTAGAATATAAACCCTCAATGAGAGAAGAAACTCCACAAGCTAGTTCACCAAGGCTATAAAAGTGCACATTTACCTCAGAGAGATTTTACAACCCAATCATGCACACAGCTAGAAAATAGATCAATAACTTAGATCAATTACTTTTAAACAGTTACTGAAAATCCTTCTCTAAAAACAATTATGAATGTCAAAGTGCAACAAAGTCTAGCATGAGCCCTGAAAATCAGGACCATCCAAAAAATAGATTTTTGAGATTTTGAGAGCAAGTTATGAAAAGGCAATTTATACCAAACTTTTTTTCCTCAAAAAGCCACTGTTTTAGCTCTAACTCTGGTCATGTATGTGTTCTTGGATATTTGCTTCCTTCTCTGGCAAGATACTCAAGAATTTAATTACTAGGCTTGTGGAACAGTAAATTTAATATTTTAAAAAAAACCTTCCTAATTTATTTTTCAACAAATATTTGTAAATGGCAGTTGAAAGTCAGGCTGTTTTTATTTAAACACTACCACAGACCAGAATCGAGCCCCAGTGTGAGAGGCAGTTTAAATGGAACACGACTTCAAAAGCAAAATTCATGATGATGAATGTGTCAAGTGAAATTAGAAATCCACTAATGCTAATTGGATACATTCTGAATGTATTAAACTTCTAAAGATATTTTTATGAACCCGTAGTAATTTCCTATTAACACCCATGCATGGCTGCACTTTGGATGTACCCACAATTTGACACAATACAGGTTATTATGTAGAATAACTTTCGATCTTGGGGTGATTGCCTAGTCTAAAGAAATGAGAAAAACTACAGTGTGAAAACATTACTTCTATAAGGAGGGAAAAAAATGATATATAAAAAATCCTTAAGAGTACAAATAGAGAAACATGGCTTTCTTTTTTCAAATGTAAGAACTATAGAGCTAGATGGTCAACATGAAAACCTAGCATATAAAAATTGGGACTTATCAGCCTATTGAAAATATTAAAAAATTTCATGAATGGTTTTGCAGCTAGGTTCAAGGCAGGTTCTTGCTCAGTGGGTTGCATTTCTACAGTGGTTACTGAGGGGGTCTGGGGGAGTTCACCTTCCCCAGCTGGTGAGGTTCATGTCCCCCCATTAGTTCACACATAGGTTCTTAGCACCCCTGTCAGAAACAGAAGAGGAGGCACCCTGGGAGCAGGGCCAGGGAGCAACACCTGTCTTAAGAATCAAGCTGATAGAGCAGAAGGACAACGTCACACAGGTTTAGCCCATATAAAGATTTGGTGAGAAAGAGGGCCTCGCACTCCCTGCCAATCGCTATAGACAGCCACTGGGTACACGCAAGTCTAAATGCTGAGGTGTATACATGGTTTAAGACCATCTAGAAGGCAACATCGCATAACAAGGGCACTGTTCTTATTCTAAGGTCACTGATGTATCAACTCTGAAATCTTAAACAAGTATTCCATGTTCACTACAACCATGCAAATCAAACATTACGCCATTCCTTCCAAAGACAAAGGATCTTCTTCGTTCAATTCCAGGAACATCCTGGTGAGGGGTGGTGTCCCATCGCCAAGCTGGGTGGGGTCAGGGTATTCTGGGTACAAGAGTGTACTGTGCTGACGCCCTTGCCTCGTCTCTTCTCTCTCCCCCTTCAGGGGGGTTATGTGGACATCTGTTCCACGACTGTTTTTCTCTTCCTTTCTCACAAATATCTTCACACTGTTTAGCCTGTGTCTAAGGTATGTTTAGTCTTTGCAGGGCTGATGCTCAAGGCCAAAGATAACATCACAGCCTTCAATTCCACCTCTCAAAAAATACTTGTTGGGTGAGGAGGTAGGTCACAAGCCAAATTCCAATTTTCTTCACGTGACCAGGACCTTCCCTGTTGCACAAGATATAATGTGCTTCCAATGCAAAACATCTATTTTTATACATCTGCCCAATAGCAGCTCAATTAAAAACAGGCCCATCAGATTGACACCGTTTCCTTAACTGTTCAGTTCCTGTCACGCTGCAGATAGCAAAAAAGCACTTAACGGCAGCCACAAGGCAATTTTCCAGTAAGACTTGTTAATCTTTATACCGTCATCCTCATGCCGCCATCAAAGTGAACTTAATGACAAATCAGTTTAAATAAATTAGTTTTAGGGACTAGTAAGGATCGGATAAAAAGCAAACCATATGTGACATCTCTTAGGTCCTCCCCATGACGGCATATAATTGTCACCATCTGTGCTATTTATTGTTTGCCCAGTCTAGCTGCCCCCCACCCCCACCCCCAGATCCACTCTTCCCTTTGCTGTCCTGTTCAGACCCCAGGAAGCTGACCTCTGTGGGCCACAGGACTATATATGCACCAGCACCAGCACCAGCGATGACCTTGCTCTCTGGCCTCCAGCTGGGCCAGTCATTTGAAGCACCAGAAGAGCATGGGGATGGAGAGCAAGGAGGGCGCCATCCCCCAGCCCTCTCACTGCTCTCCCAGCCAGGCAGCATCTTGTCCAGGCCCAGCTCTCCACAGCTCTGGTGCCTCTGCTCCCCACTAGGACTCGCCAGGCCCAGGTGAGCCACAGCTCCCAGCTGTTGCTAATACCTCGGTGCTGAGCAGCCCGACTGGTTCGGGTAACCCCTGCATCTCTACACACAGGCCTTTACTACAGTCTCCTCAGTGGAGCCACCTGTGGCTGGCCAGGACCCTTGGCCAGGACCATTGGCCCGGAGCTGAGGTCACTTACATGCACCGTGTGGACTAGATCGGCCGCCAGGCACTGCTTCAGCTTCTCGTCGCTGCTGGTCCCATGAAGCACCAGGTCAGGCATGTAGGTGGGGCAGTACCCTGCCAGAAGTGAGCGGCCAAAGTTTCTCACATTTGGGTTGCTGACGCTCTGAGAGCTAAAACAATATTGGCCCGTTAGAATTCACAGTCAACAACGTGCTCCCTTCTGGCATTATAACTGGGACAGAATCTCCAAGAGAAACAGACTCAGGGAGGTTCCATTCACCCATCCTATGGTAAGTGGAACGGAAGAGGTTTGGAAGAGAAAAAGGCATTTATTTTAAAGGAGAGGGCAGGAAAAAACAACAGATTTTTGAGGGCTGATTATGAGATTGTTCTAGCCCTTCATCTTGAACCCCCCACCAGGCAGCCTGTGCCAGAGGGTGAAGCGTCTGCTAGATGGGCGGGCTCTTGCCAAAAGTCTGGCTTTAGGAACTCAACACATCTGCACAGGGCAATGCGAGGAAGAGAGGAGTCCTCTAATTACTGCTTTCAGTCACCACAGGCCGAAAAATCAACCTGATGGCGTGTTGAGGGAGAGGTGGTGTTTCCCCAGCCCCTCACGTGGCTGCACCCGCAGGACGGAGGCCGCCTGGGCGAGCTTAACCCACCACCTCCAGGGCAAGGCATCTGCTGCCAGCCCATAGGGCCCTCACAGCCGACCGGAGAGTGAACTCCCTGCCCCTCTCTCCCCTCTGCCTCCCCCAATGTCACCACGGTGACAGAGAGGCCCCCTCGCCTGTGTTCCTGCTCTGGGGCGCTGCCTCGCCACACGGCGGCCATCTTGTTGAACGGGCAGGCTGGCCAACGCCAGCAAAGCTTGGCCGGCACGGCCAGTATTTGTGGGCAAAAAAACACAAAACAAAACAAAACACAAAACCACAGGGGCCCATAAGTGCTCACAGGGGCCGCGTACCTGGGCAGCGGCAGCTCCACCTCAGCGGCCCCCTCCGCGCGGTTGCCGGGGCCCGCGGGCAACATGGCCGTGGCGCAGGCCTCGTCGTCGCTGTCTCCGAGGGCGCTGTCTGAGCTCTCGTTCCTGGGGATGTCGCCCTCGGCCCTGCGGCCGGCCTTCCTGCCGGGGTCCCCACGGGGGACATGTGCGGCCACCGAGAAGCCAGAGTCCTGCTGGGCACCCCGATTGGGAACAGGCGCCACCAAAGGTCCCTCTGTGCCCATCGGGTGGCACCGCCCTGCTCCTGCCGCGCGGGCCTCGGGAGCAGGTGGGCCGGGCGGCCCCGCCACATCCGCCGCAACCTCGGGTCTGATGCCTCGGTCCTCGGCAAAACCCCTGTCAAATTCCCCGTCCTCCCCCTCTGAAGACAGGCCCTGGGGACAGCCAACATTCTTCCTGAAGCCGGGGGCGATGGAGCATCCAGACACCTGCTGGTCCTGAGCCACCTCGGCAGCCCCCCTGTGCTCAGCCGAGGGCCTGGCTGGCTCTGCACATTGTCTACAGGCCTTCAGCCGCTCCTCCATTCTTTTGGCGCGGCTTTCCAAGTCAGACTCTGGAGATAAGGAGCTTCCAATTTGGAAAGTGACCTTTTCTAAGGGAGCCTTCTCCCGGGAATGTCTGTCAGGGCATGGCCAGGCCGCTGACCGCTCTGATAATTTTCTAGGCATATCCCCTTTCAACTCCTCACTGACAGTTTGTTGGCCAACCTTCAGTCCTGCCCCCAGAACTTCACAGCTGGAGAACCCTGAAGAGCCATCTTGAAGGGGCTCTTCTTTACTGTCTTCATCCTCACAAAGTGGCCCCTGACGTTTCCAAGAGCTGGCCAGTGCCGGCTCTGGGAATCCCTGGCTGCAGGCCTCAGAACTCTGCTCTGGACTCCTGTTTACTTCTTTGTCAGGTTTGGGACACAGGTCTCTAAGGTCAGTGCCCTCTGGGGCCCCAGCCAAGCCCTCAGGCCCAGGGTCCCTTCCCTCAGCGGTGATGGGTGGCAGCATGGGGGGAAGCAGAGCAGGCTCGCTTCTGACGGTCACGACCACATACTCAGACTCCTCCACCTCGCCTCTCTCCAAGGCTGTTGTGATCTTGCTCCCATTTAACATCTGTTCACCTTCGCTGCAGTTCCCACACCAGGTCAGCTGGTTCTCTTGAAGCTCAGAGCAACGGAGAAAGTAGGTCAGGACATAAAGTATGCGCTGGACCAAATCCTTCTGCTTCCCCACCACCACGGTGCGAGTCAGCCTCACTGGAGAGCCGATGGCTCCATAAAGATCACCTATAGGGCAAAGCAAGACACAAAGAAAAAGTCCTTTGGGGTGAGCAGGTCACAGATGTGTCGGCCTTTACAAGAAGTAGCTGGCTGTACTCCCCCAAACTAGAAAGGCTTCTTCATCCACCTTAAGGGGGCAAAGAGGAAATGCCTAGTAATGACTGTTCAAGTTTTGCCTCTCTAATGGGAAGTCTGCCTGGAAAGGCCTGCTGCAGGCTGCACCTACTGCTCTCGATCCACTAAATACACAATCCCTCTCTCTGTGCTTGTAAGGTCTTCCCAGGGAGCTCCCCAGGCTGGCTGTTCCCACCTCCCCAAGGCAGGCTAAAGCCACAGTTTTAAATATATGACTAAATCAAATATTATATCTTGGAAATTAGAATAATCTTTTAAACTAGATTTAAAAAAAAACAAGAATCCAGGACAACAGGCCTTGAAGGTGAAATTCAAATTCAGGAATCTCTAAACAGAAGTGCAGTGAGTTTCATTCAAAATACTTAATGAGATGGCCATCTCAGAATTCTCTCAATAAACATACACGCACCAAGCATTATCAATTTGATCAAGAAGAAGAAAATTAGTTAATTATGAATAGTAATTCTGAATATTTTCTTTACATGGCTTCACATGAAGATTCTATGTAAAAAAATATGTTCCATAAGTTATATCTTGCCAATCTGATTAAAAACCAGTGGATGAACCACACACATTTAGCTTAAAGGTGGAAGAAGGGCAAATGTGTCAATCAACCCTAAAGTGTAAGTGTTTCATTAAAGTATTTGTCAAATGTCTAAAAATTACTGCATTGGGTAACCTCATTATTGTATTTTTATAACCTTCATAGCAAAATATCTTGATAATAAAATACTAACAATCACAACAAAAAATTAACATTGATATCTCAAGCATCGGACAAAATGTTTCACATGAATTTATCTTGTTTCTATCTCTGCACAGCCAGTCCTGAGTCAGAAACCATTAAGGGAATCATCAGAATGTTGAACCAAATCCAAACTGGAAAAGTTACTAAATAAAGGAGAGGTGGCACGTGGCAACAGTAATTAATTAGAACTCAAGAAGTTAGAATCCATCTGAGGACTGCATTGAGAGAGAGGAGGAAAGGCATTTGTAAGGGCATATACGAGATAAAACTAATTAAGTTGATAGATTAAGACTGGGGACAAAGATATCAGATGCAATAAGAAGTACTTCCCTTGGGAGTACTGAGGAAGTTCCTGGTCTGGAAAGTAGTCCCTAGTGGAAAGCTACTGCAGGACAGAAATGACATTGAACAATCCTCTCTATAAAAAGACTAGTTTACTAATAGAGCCTTATCTTTTGAGACTTTTGCAACTAACTGACAAATCATCTAAAGATACAAAAAAAACAAACAACCCCCTCCCCCCAAACCTGAGATACAGTCTGATGCTAGGACAAGTACTGAGAAAACTTTCCTGACTAAAAGTTTAATTTTTGCTACTTTTGTGATTACAGCTGCTCACTGCTATAGGATATCATGGTCATTTCAGGAATTCGTGGGACATTCTTGTTAAATCAGTTTCAATATTAACAAAGAAGGTAAGTGCTACATATCTGAATCTGGTATGAGAAGTATCACAAAGGAAAGACCAGTCAGAGTGACAATATTTCTTTGATAGCAATTTTTTTTTAACTTTTGGCATTGTATATTTTAAATGACTAAGACATACATGGAAAAAAATGAAATAGAAAAATATAATAAACTATATAAAGTAATGAGCGTGATGTGTGTGGAAACAGTGCTGTTACTTCAGGGCCCGATTCCATAAATAATGCACCATTAAAATAAAAGACCTATGATATTAAAAATTTATTGCATCTTAAAGTTGAAGCTAATTTTTGAGTCCTGGACTGATGAAGTTACTAATTTTAGAGCAGAAACTTTGTTTTTAGGAGTATTGTTTTGCAAACCAAGGAAGAGGTTACACAGTAATGTGAACAGACTTAATGCTGAACTATAGTCAGGTGGTTAAGATAATAATTGTGCTTTTTAAACCACAATTTAAAATTAAAGTGAGAAAGTGGGAGTGAGCAACAGAAAAAAGGGTTAGAAAGTAGATGACAGGATCTAGAAGATGTGGTACATATACACAATGGAATATTACTCAGCAATCAAAAAAGATAAACACTTGCAGTTTACAGCAACATGGATGGAGCTGGAAGGGATCATGCTCAGAGAAATAAGTCAGAAAGAAAAAGGAAAATACAGGATGGTCTCATTCATAGCAGGAATTTAGAAAACCTAAATAAGGGACCAGGAAAACGACTAATTAATACAAAGTAAAAATCAAAATCAACAAACAACTATAAACCAGAGACATACTATGGTGGGGTTGGTGGGGAGGGAAGGGGAGAGGAAGGACTAGGGTCAAAATAAGGGGGGGGGGTGTAATTGTATGGGGAATATAACCAAAATGGAAATGCATACATTGTGCAAAAATGAAAAATGATGTAAGAATTATATAAAATGAAATATTAATTAAAAAAATTAAAAAAAAAAAAAGAAAGTATTTCCCGGTGAACAGGAAAGGCCAAGGACAGCTTGCAGGGAAGCAGGAGGGGCCTAGTGGCCTCAGGGAAGAGGAGACAGAGACAGGGCAATGGGAGCAGCAGTCAGAGGACAGAGGAGGGGCTGGGGAGAAGACAGCAGAGAGGAAAGGAGAAGAGGTGGAGCTGCAGAGAGCGGAGGAGATGGCAGAGAACCAGAGATGGGGAGTCCAGCACACAGGGAACAACACCCCTGGGAGAAGAAGACAGGCAGAGAGGGGAAGAGGAAAAGGAGAAACACACCCTGGGAGACAGTGAGAAGATGGAAACCAGAACGAGTGGGGAGAGAGAGACAAGGAGAGAGGCGAGGCGTCAAGAGCCCTCAGGAGCGGAGCGCGTGAAGAGAGGGTGCTGAGAGGTGGGGTGTGGAGGTACAGGGAGAAAGGGGGGAAGATAAACAAGGACGGAAAATGAGGTATTTTAAAGAACCATTTTTTTCTTCATTACATTGTAATAAATGCGCGCCCGCTGTGACGGGCCTCAGACAGCGTCTCCCTAACCCTACACGGTGTCGCTGCCGCGTCTTCATTATCATTTGCTTCAAACTATTTTTTAATTTCTCCTGTGGAAATTCATTGGTCTGTGGGTTATTTAAATGTGGCTGTTTGTAATCAAAAAGAATAAACTCAGGCCATTCGCTGCAACGTGGATGGAGCCGAAGGAATTATGCTCGGTGAAATAAGCCAGAAGGAAAAACTATCGGATGGTTTCACTTATAGCGGGAATATAGAGGAACCCAGTAAGACATCAGGGTAAAAAAAAGAACAGTACAAAACACAACAAAGCAAAAACCAGAGCCATCCTGCAGGGGAGGAGGAGGGAGAGGGATCAGAGGGCGGGAGGGAGGACCACAGGAAACTATGGAGACTCCACCTGAGGGGGTGGGGGGAAGCAAATATTGTTTAAAAATGAACAAATGATGTAAAATTTTTTAAAAAAAAATTTTAAAAAGGGAAAAAAAAACCCTGAAATCCTAAAAAAAAAGAAATTAAGGAAGATGGCAAAAAATAAAATATTCACTATTTTAACATCAAAAATAAATAAATGTGGCTGTTTAATTTCTCAGTATTTGGGAATTTTCTCCTTATCATATTTTTCATTGCAGTCTAATTCTACTGCATTCTGAAGAACACAATTTTAACTTTGGAGGGGGGAAAAAAGGTAAATTTCAGACTTTTTAATTTATATTAATTTAAACCACTGATCTCAAATCCTATTTGAGGAGAAAAGCTACTTTTCACTTCCACGAATCCTTCAGGTAAAGTCAAACAGAGATGGACCTGGAACTTCTCAGCCGGTGGTGGAGCCGAGCAGTTTGCAAAGTCCCCACCCTCATCCGACACAAGAAGCACACGACCCTGTGGCCCGCACACCCTCTCACACAGACACTTCACAACACATACACGGGTCACCCTGACGTTTCCGCTCTAGCGTGCCGTCCACCCCCTCTGCTGGGTGGTGACCCCCACTTTGAGAAACCCTCACAGGGAGCTTGCAGCAGCAGAGGCAAGGATGGCAAAGCCTCCGAACAGTCAGCATGAGAGTGTGAAGGGGTTCAAGGTTGCTCCCAGCTTCTCTCCTCCCTCAGGCTTGCTCACCAGCCAGAGAGCAACAGGCACAGCCATCGTAGCTGTCCTGGCACGCTCTCAGATGAGCCTTTGAAACAATCCAAGACAGAATCTTTTCTATTATTTAGGAACCAGGATTAAAATTACATCTGCATCATTGTATTTCCCCAGCAAGTTATATTTTCCTGTGACTGGGTATATATATAAGGAAAACAGTAATCATGCAAAGTATCTCCCCTGTCAAATTATTGGAGCCCCTTGATTTCCTGTAGTAATATAAACTCAACCATCATTCACACTAGGCTTTACAAAGCGATCATCTGACAGGCCTCAGCACCTCCTCAGCTACTCCAACCCACAGCCAGACCCCCATGGATGGTTTGGGGGAGGGGAGCACTGGAGACTTTCAATAACACACCACCTCCTTGGAGAGCAGCCTCGGAGCCCATAGGAAGGGACTTTGCCTTTCTATGGAACAGAATTAATGGCTCTCAATTAGTTAAATTTCAAAAGAGAAGCATGTCTAATTATAAATACATTTATCTAATTAAATGCACACTGCTTAATTAGCATTGTTTTTAAATGGATGACCCAGGCAGCATGAAACACTGTTTCCTTAACATCCAGGGGCTTCCCTTCACCAATTAACCATACATTTTTTTCAAGATTATCCTTCCATAACAAGAACAATAACCCTCTGCCTCCCCCAGGAAGAACTGGGGGACCTAGCGTGTGTTAGGCAGGCTGAGTTCTTTCCTGAGCTCAACACTGATCAGTTGTGCTAAACACATTTTTAACATCCACAAATTCTTCAGCTATTCATTTTAACTACATTTAAGCTACCATCCCCCTAACCCTGGACCATGCTTTCTCTTCTTATACATCTCATGACCCTGAGCACAAGGGCAAGACATCTTTATTATCTACAAAGTGAGGACAATAGTAAGAGAGGAATAAGAACCTATCTAATAATATGCTTAAAAAGCACTTAAACCAGTGCTTGACTCACAGTATCAGCTTTCATTGTTATTATAACAAGCTGTTTTCTAAGATTAGAGAAAAGTCTGTATGTCTTTTTCTGGAAAGTGCCAATTTAACATTTTCTCAAACAAGCCTTCCTTGAAAAATCCCACCCCTCAGCCTCTCAGTGCCCCCCAATGTTAATATTTTCATCAAAGGGTGGTTACAAATTACTAATTGCCGCAGCAACTGTGGGCTATTATCAGCTCCTCTAAGAACTGAAGAAACGGACACAGAGGCCAGGTCACTTGCCTCTGGATACTGGACTTGATCTACACGCCTGGCTCTGGCACCCGCGGTCTCAGCTCTACACTACAAGGCCTGCTTCCTGCATCCTTCAGCACATCCCTATCACAGGGATAATCCTGGTGTAATGGAATCATCTGAGGATAAATCTGCCAGCGCTGTTAAGCAGCTAGTTTTCGAGACTATGCAGTATGTCACTCAATCCCTGTCCCTGGCATGTGGCAGGTGCGAGTGTCTGTACCGATCATTCTAAAAATACAGATGCATGAGAGGTCCAAGAGTACCGCACTCCCCCCACGAACCCAAATATGCAAGTTTGGTCTCAAACTCATTGAGTCCATACTTCTTTTTACAGAAAATGCTGTTTTAACATTTCCTAAGTAAGCCTTCCTTGCTCTGAGAGAAAGAGAGAGAGAGACCCAAACAACTACGCCAAAGCATTGGATTCCTATACCATAACTAAGTACAAAAGTAAGCTTAAGGAAATAAATGCCACCAACTAATTATAAGAAAGCAGTGCACAGAAAGGTATCTGACTTCAGCAAAAATTTAAAAGGTGGTGAAATTAGTGTAACTTGACTCAAACACCTATCATTTTTCCCATCCCATTCCACATAGTCTCCGAACAACCATATTAGATACCAACCCAGCTGCGCCCAGAGAGGATTGTAAGGGTGCGTTTTGGCCAGGGTGTTCACAGACTGGGAGGTGCGTTTCTCTGAGAAGGCTTTAATGGGAGGGTGGTCAACAGGCATGACAGTTGGTACCCAGGCCAGGTGGTAGGTTAACACTGCAGTCAGTAAGGCAGCAAAAAACCTTGGAGAAATAGAAGAAAATACAACCAGATGAGTCAGTGCAGGGAGAGGCACTTCTTACGCAGCACACGCGTGAGCTACGGGGCTTACACACAAGGCCCTGCAGCACACGCATGAGCTACGGGGCTTACACACAAGGCCCTGCAGCACACGCGTGAGCTACGGGGCTTACATACAAGGCCCTGCAGCACACACGTGAGCTACAGGGCTTACGTACAAGGCTCCACAGAGCTGAAGCTTACTGGTTTTTATTGATCTGCTCTATCAGGAGTGTAAACTCCTTGAGAAAGCGCTGGCACAGCTGGGTTTTTTCCAAAGTGCTGGACATCATGGTAAGCCATATTGGTTCGGTTATCCTTGGAACAGAATACAAGTTCCAGATCGTCCCTCTGTAGAAGAGAAAGAGAGGGATACACAAAACTGTCACAAATATCATTTTGGTGAATCTTTGTATGAAAGAATAAGGAAGACAACAATAACTGGAATCTATGTAGTCCTTAAGGGATTCATGCAGGAAATAAAACAGGTATAAACTATAACCCACAGGCCACATTTGACTGACACTATTTTATAAGTAAAGATTTATTGGGAACAGCCAATCTCATTTATTTACATATAGTTTATCACTGCTTTGCATAACAGCAGAGTTGAATAGCTGTGACAGAGCCCCTTTACAGAAAAGGCATGCCAACCCTTGACATGAAATACTCATTTCATGTCAATGAAAAGACAATTTATTTTCACAATGCCCGTGTCAGTACTATGCCCATTAGTAGTAAAGAAATAAAGGAAGAAAAAGGGACAAGCTATACTGAAAATGGGACCAGAGGTCACTCAATGCTCCCAGTGCTGGCTGGTGTTTTAGTTCTTTAACCCAAATCACTCTTTTCATTTCAGATGATAAAAACTACAACTGATGCTTGAACAACATGAGGGAAGGGGTAGGGTTGAGGTTTTAGGGGCACCAAATAGTCTCACACATTTTGAAAATCCCCCAAAACTTTTGACTCTCCATCTATGGTTTGGACATGCATCCCTGATGATTTTACGTCTATAAAATGGGGTTAATAGTGCTTACTCTTAAGGCTTTTGTGAGAATATGTGAAATAATGAACAGGCTCATATTACTTTCCCATTCACCCTGCTAAAACAACCACATCAAAGACTGTCAGGGAGTAGTGAAGATTACTTGGTGACTTAACATTTTTTTTCTCCATTTGGACTCAGTTTCCATCTTGAAGGAAGGAACTGCTAATATGACTAATAATTGAAAGTCTGCCAATTTCTCCAAGCCATGGTATCTATGTGTCTCTAGATCCATGGCTGTTCCTGCTACTCATAAATTACACCTATTGGAATCATCAAACTTTATCAATTTACCTGAATTCTCCCAGAGCTTCCATCAGACGGCTGACATAAAACTGAACTCGGAGACTTGATTCTGCTATTTTCCTACAGGAGATCATGGCCTTTATGGAAGAGAAGAAAAGCTTATTTGGCCAGGGAGCAACCCACATGGCACAGCAGACCTCTCCTGGCTCACCCGCTGTTCCCCTCAGCAGTGTATTTCAGTCAGTCTGCCTGTTCTGTTCCCCACTCTGTCTCTGATGAATCCTCTCACCCCCCCCCACCCACACCTCTGGCCTGTACCTCAGCTCTTGCATGCATAAATAAATCTTAAAAAAAAAGAAAGAAAGAAAAGAAAGCAGTAATTCCCTTTCCTAACGCAGTATCTGATATCTATCATCATCCTGTGGAAGGATCTACCACTGATGCAAATGACAACTTCTCAAGTGATCTGACACATAAACAAAGAGATTCTGCCATCTTTAAGGCCCCAAATTGCTTTGCTATTTGACGCTGAATTGCATTCATATTACCTTTTCAATTGCACTCTTCAGCCTGTTCATGTGAGATTCAAATAGGGGGAAATGAGAAAAGAAGAAGTCTTGGAAACTCCTTTGTGCTTCTTCTTTCTCACACAGGGAAAAGATGATGCTTATGGCAATTTTCTTCCTCCGAACTATGGCTGGGTTGGAACTACAGGTTTCTTCAGCCAAGCTGAATGTCTCATCGATTGACCTAAAGGAAAAATAAGTTTGAAAAGTTGCCATGCCTCCATGAATCACACTGCAAATAAATTGTAATGCCAAGGATGATTCTCAGAAAGCCAATTCAGAACACTCAGAGTCTTAACTAAGAGGTTATGTACCTCTAATTCATTCTCTTTTATAAAGCTATTTTGAAAAATGAAAGAGCCAGTTTGTCACACCATAGTATCCTCACTTGAAATGCACATGAAGACTAAAAGCTATTTCACATGCCCCCCTATTAGGCCCGCCTTTGTCCTTTTCCCTTGGATTATTTTACATGAGATTGCTGGCATATAGGAAGGGTTGTGAAACATCTGCTGCTCAAAACACAGGCCCTTTGTTTGGTTTGTAGATACTCAGAGATAAGAACTTCAGAAGAGAAATTATCCAAATGGTCTTCAGTTTAATGAAGGCATCATGTTTGAGTATTTACGGTACACTGAGGCTAACTGCCCTGGGTGATTAGAACCATTAGCTGACAGAACTTCTGCAAACGCTCAGATTAAGCTAAGAGATGGATTAAGCAATCTCCCAAGCAGAAACACTCTTTTCTGTTAGAGTCAAATTCTCTCAGTGATAAGAGAATCACAGAACATTCTGAAAAACCAGCATAAGTACCACACAGCTACTGTAAGCGAGAGTGAAAGTAAGAAGAATTACTTCTTTTACAAAGATACCAAAGCAAATAGCATATTGCACCAGAGCGCACAGGACTGGCACACAGTAGGTATGCAATACATTTTCTCTTTCTCATTGACTCCACCATTTGCCTCATTATTTCTGCCAAATACGGGAGGGTAATGCTTCCTCCATTTTCTTTACTACAAATTACAACATAGCAATGACTTACATTTGGCAGAATTCGAGGCATTTAGCCTCCTACTCTTGATCTTAAACTTATTTAGTGCCCTACTCAGAGTCTATAATGCTCCTGTGATCTCAAACATACCCACATTTTTAAAAACATACATACATCAAAAATTTTGTAGTCAGAGAAGCTGTTTTATTTTTAAAGGAAAGGAGATAGACATCTTGTTCAAACCTCAAAGGGCTATGTTATTGTTTCTCTCAACGGCAGGCAAGATCCTAGAGATGTAGATGCGGCTGATAAATCAATCAGCTCTCACTAGCAGACACCAGAGCAGGGCAGCACTGCAGGTGCTGTCGTGACTGCATGGCCTTATGATAAACCATCGACAGTTTTCTCTGAGAAACCCACATCCTAATCATCTGCTCCTCAGAAAAAAAAAAAAAAAAAAAGTTGAGGCGCTTAAAGTCTTACTGAATCATACAAGGCTAATCTTCTTTTCCAAGGTACCTGTACTATAACTTCCTTTTCCGGCACCAGTTTATTTCTATTTTAGATAGGAAATGCTGACCTTCCACTATACCAATCCTTTCTTCTTAGTCTGGCATCCCCTATTTCCCTCCTTTTTTGAAGGTAAAATGACCACATCCATTCACTAAGTTTTGCCAATACAGTGCTTAATAGTCAGATGGTAATGAACACTTCACCATATGCAGGCTTGGGCGTCATCATCTCTAGCCTACAGGCAGTAACCAACTCTGTTTTACCATAGCAAATAGCGCCACCTACCGAATTTATGAAAAACTGCCACAGCTAGAATGGCCCCAACCAGCTTCTTTTCTAAAGCATCTGAGCTTCATTCTGTTGTCTTAGATCAAGCATGAAAACTGGAGTAAATCAGGCCATGTGGTATTGTAATTATATTTTTAATGTTATTTCACAATATTATTCAGATTTTTTTTCATTTCAAAATTTAGCTATATACCCAAACACGTCACATCTTCATGCTCCAGTCACAGGTAAGATACACAGACTACTTAGCAAATGTGGAGACTAAACAGAGTGATTAATCAACCTGCTTTGGGAAGAGAAAGCTTGTTAGTGACAAAGCTGGGGTTAGAACCCAGAGTTTCTGTTTTCAAGTGTAGGCTCATTTCCTGGACACTGGAAATAATCAGGGGTACCAGAGTAATCCCCAGGGAAAGAGGAGGTCCCAGGTTCCCTGCCCCACCCTAGGAAGGATGGAGCTGAGCAGGGGCAGGCACAGAGGACAGGGAGTTTTCAGAAATTTCTCTCAATGCTGTCATAACCTATAAAGCTCCAGTAGCGGTTGAATCAATGGAAAGATCTTTCTCAAAATAACACATTGAAAATAAATTAGTTGGAATCTTGCATTTGCCAGGAGTGACAAAAGCTGTTTTCAATTATATCAACTGAAAGCAAGATTGCAAAAATATATACTTCTGATGACCTAAAAAATGAATTTGTAGAAAAGTGAGTCAGGAAAACTTTATGATGAATTAAGATACTGTATCAAGTATTCCTATTTATTACATGATATTGACACAAATACATTTGCAACTTATAATCTTATATATATATCATTCATTACTAGTATTCCTATTATATTTTGTAAGTAAAATATTTTTAAAGGAAATGTTTCACATTTTAATATCTATAGTAATGTTTTCGCCTCGTTTTTAAACAAAGGACCCTGATTTTTCATTTTTAAGCCCAAGACGCTTATTTTAGGAGTACATTCGCTAGAGGTTCATTTGTTCCCAACAGCAGACCTCAACTCAAATTAGAGCGCTGAAGAATTTGGGAGGAGTGGGTTGTGGAATGTTATTCAATTCTGAATTTCATCCTCATGGAATGGAAATGCATTTCTGGAAAAGATGTGTAAAAGAGAAGGAGTCTAGTCACAGAGGCAAAGATGGCAGCATGCCTCACCCTGATGGAGGCATCGTGGCCACAGTGATGGCGACACCAACAGGAAATGAACCAAACTGTATTTTAACCAGCTGTATTTTGTTGACCAACAAAAATACAGCTGGTCGCTGGTCAAGCGACCAGCCCAACCTGACTTCTGTATCTCACTCATCTCTCCCAACAACACTGTGAGGTGGGCACTGGCACCATTATCATAGTGCAAATGAGGCAGCGACACTTGGCATCCAGGCTAACTCATTCTCACACACATCTAGGCAGTAGCAGAGCTAGGACTGACCTCACACCTAACTCCAAGCTCCTGACCATTCCACTCAAAGTCCACCACCAAAAAGCAGCTCCTCAGTGAGTGACACAGCTGCACTTTTCTCCTTGTGCCAAGCTCTCAAGGACGGTGAGAACAAGAAGGCAAGCAGCCTGGCACGTGCCACACACACACACACACCCCCAACCTCTGTTTCTTAGCTTGACCTTTCAGTTCCTCCCATGAAAGACTCCACAATTCCCCTCCTCTGAGTCCCAAAGCAGTTTATGCTATTCTGTGCATTTATCATTTAACATTTATCATTATTTATGCATAGTTTTCCACACTAGTTTATAAACTACTTAAATGCAAGGATGTCATTGAATTATCTTTACACTTGCACAGCTCCCTATATACAGTGAGTACTATTCAGTTTACTAAATCAACCTAAATCAACCAATTTATATGTGAATTTTTATAGGTACAACCTATCTTAATTCCCTTTTAAGTTTTGAGTTGTAGGAAAAATAGACTGGAAGCCACTGATGAAAAAACCTTTGAATCAAAAACGTACATTTTGCATACAACTACACTTGTGATCTAAAACCCAATGAAAATGAAGGTAGAAAATACCTTGATGCCATCTCTATTTGTAATTACACTCATGACCATTTAGCTTAAGAATTTGAATTTCACAAAAAAATGAGTATGTCACAACCTTGGAATTCACGTATTTTCCAAGACCACACTGATATCACCGTGGCTAAGGAAGAGATTTATCCCACCTTTTGTCTTACAAGAGCTACGTCTGGGAGGGAGCTGAGTAAGAGAGCATATTCATTTTAAATTAATACCAAATCCACCTCATATACCACACACCTACCCAGGTATTTCCTGGTGTCTTCCAGACCAGGAGATTGGTTTTTGGCTATTATTTATTCTATGAAACTTCTAACTTGTACACTTTGGGTTCGGCTAAAGCTAGAGCTAGCTTCGCTCCCTTTTCCCAATGACCACCAGTGAGCACAGAGTCCTGCCTTCACCAGAACCTTCTCAGCAAAAGGAAACCTGAAACTCACCTCCTTGGAATGATGCCATTTTCCAGACTTGTTGTCTGACTTCGAAGCCAGCGGCGCTGGTAGCTACTGGAAGAGGATGCTGAGGAGCTTGGAGATGGGAAAGGTGTGATCAAGAGGCTGCTCAGGGAGGCTGTGGGGAAGAAAAGTGGAAAGTTGAGTACAGTGATGAGTTTTCATGCAGCTACATTAAAAACACACACACACACACACACACACACTCGGATTTTACCAGTCACATCCAGCAGGGGGAGACTATAACTTCTCTTAGAGTAAAGAAAACATCCTTTTATTTTATTTTATTATTAGTATTTTTGAAAACATCCTTTCAGAAGGAAGACAGATTAAAAGAAACTGGGATTTCAAATACAGCAAGTACATCAATTATCAGATCCCACATTACAACTACAAAATACTTATTACATATTCAATCAGAGTGTTAGGTTGCAGATTTCTGATAAAATGGTCTGCGTGACTGTTTAGTTACCTGGTAACTAATGCCATACATAATTTAGCTTAAAAATATCAATTAAGGGGCCTCCCTGGTGGCGCAAGGGGTTAAGCACCGCTATGAAGCAATCTGCAGCCTCTGCAGCAAGAGCTTGATCCCAGGCCAGCCAGGGAGCAATTCACATGGCGCAGCAGATCTCTCCCGTCTCGCCCGCTGCTCCCCTCAGCAGTGTATTTCAGTCAATCCACCTGTTCTGCTCCCCACTCTGTCTCTGGTGAATCCTCTTACCCCCTCGCACCTCTGGCCTGTACCCCAACTCTTTCTTATATGCATAAATAAACAAATCTTTTTAAAAAATCAATTAAAAAAATGTCCTGTATTTTGAGGTGAAATCCAGGCAAATAAGTATTTCCCCAACACAATATCCTCTCTCTTCTGTCCACCTCTCCTTCCCATCTCCAAATATATAATACTGGTTCTCCTTTCTCCCAGCCCTCCTGTTACTTCTTTGGCTATGAAAAAGCAACCTCTAGTTTTAAATATATTTTCTGGTTGGATTACTTATTTGCCTCTCAGCCTCTCGCTGCTTCCTCCCATGCATAGTATCAGGTGCTTACAGTTGGGCTCTCGGTAAGTGTGAGCTGACTTCGTTAACAGGGAAGGCCTGGTCCCTTTCAGGTAGGCAAAGGGCTTTTTCTCCAAATCACAGCTGCTTTACTAACGCCTACTGGTTTGGAAGAATGGAGCCAGAGAGACTTGTTTTCCTTTTCCCTCCTAAGGATCAAGGAATTCAACATTGAAATGTCATCCAGTCCAGTGGAAAAGGAAATAGGGTGCTACTGATGGCTGGTCAACATGTTCAGCAGCAAATCACAGGACAAGGGAAATTGATTTCAATAAATATAGCATAGTATGCTCATGGGTATCATTTACTAAGGCAGTTTCCCCACACGAACATATTACATTTATATTTAAACTTTTATAGGCAGATGGAAAGTACCCGACTCCCTGACTTGAGTTACTTGCTATTAATTATCGATAAGCCAACGAAGAGTGTCTATTTGTGCCAGGCAACTGGGATCTGGTGGTGGGAAGAGCATCGAACTGCCCAGACAAAATTACAAAATTCTGACATATTGGTAACAATTTGAGATTTTTTCACAATAGAGATCTATAAGATGCCTTTCATCTAATCCAGTCAATGTTGATAGATTTTGTTAGGCAGGTCTTAGTCAATTTGTATTCCCTTGTGCCCAGGACAGTGCCTGAACATGACAGGCAATTAGTAAATTTTAATGGAATGTATGGCAGTCTGCACTGAAGGGTTACGCAGGCGAGGCTGGCTTCAGCAAGGTTCTCACCAGAATCTCTGAACCTCTGTTCAAGCTTTCAGCCTAAGGTAGACTAAAATCCCCAAAATCAAATCCACATTTCAAGTATCATTAAGCAGGAGATTTTACTGAAAATTCTGAAAGAAGCCAGGAGAGTGTTTTTCCTTAAAGTCACATAAAATTGGTTAATAAAATCTCCCTGTGAGATACTTCTGCCCCCCCCCCAAGTTCTCAAAAGTCCCCTATAATAACCATACAATCCTCTCCACCCCAAACCTCCAGGGTCCCCTGTCTCATGCTAAAGCAAATCAACTTCTTGGAAGACGGAGTATCGGGCTGGCGGGTGGTATTTTATATTATAAACAGCTGTTTCCCTCAGTCAAAGAAGCAAGTTGTAGAGATGACTCTGTGGTCAGTTTATTCTTGAAATTGTCTATATTGCTGTATAATTCAGTTTAGCACGTGGAGTAAGAGCCCAGGTTACTGCTTCCAATCCTAGCTCTGTCATTCACCAGTTGTGACACTTTGGCAGTTTACTTAAATGTGAACAATAAAGTACCTCGGTATTTTTCATGAGAGCAGCAAGGAGCTAGTGGGTTGTGAATTGTTTAATGGATTGAAGCCAACATTTAAAGAGGAGAAAGTATACTGCAGCATTAATATCACCTGATGAAACTATACTTTACTATATATGAAACATTTGTTACTGGATCAAGATGAAAATACATTATGAACTTCACACAAAAGGCAAAAAGCAAGTAAAAAAAAAAAACCACCGAACTATTTCATAAGGTTCCTGTAAGGATTACAAATGAATACATGTAAAATGCTTAGCCCAGTTTCTGATATAATAAAAGTTAGTTATTCACTCCCTCTGGCAATTCTTGGGAAAGGCAGACCAAGCAGTACATTTTAGAGTACTAAAAGGTTATTGTTCTGATTAATTATGGAAAGAACCTAGGACTCATAGTTGACATGAAAGGAAAGGGGAAAAAAATAAAAGTAATAAAAAACCAGAATATTCCTTTTCTCATCATAAAATGAATAATTATTTTATGGCAACTAAATGAAATGTTAAGTCAAAATGCTGGTTCAGGGTTATCAATCATTTCCTCATCACAAAGATATTTTAGTGTCACTTAGTAATTTTTTATCTAAAAGTACTGTGGCCTGTCACTGTCAGTCACATGTGCTAGGAAACAATACACTTACAACTTTCAAATGCAAGCACAGGTTCAATTTTGGCCTGCAACTCAATGTCATTCTCATGAGAAAAGGGTGGATTCAGATATTGATTCCACCAACACTCGGTGCCCTGGATGGCTGGCTGGCTCCTGGCTGGAAGGCAGTGAGGCCAGGGCCACAGGGAGCTTGACTGGGGGGATAGAGTAGGGGCTGCAGGCTCTGTCCAGCAGATGGCATGCCTTCGCTAAGGGCCTGGCTCCTCAGGACAACGAAAAGAGTTTTGGATGAGTGCTAAAAGTGAGGTGGGTTGTAGATCCTGCCCCGCCCCCAATGGTTTCTGTGAGTTAGGTAAAAAAAATTCTCTAACTGGGGCCTCCTTGGTGGTGCAAGGGGTTAAGATACAACCTGCGAGGCTGTCTGCAGCCTCTGCAGCACAAGTTCAATCCCCGGCCGGCAGGGAGCTACCCACATGGCGAGCAGACCTCTCCTGTCTCACCCACTGCTCCTCTCAGCAGTGTATTTCAGTCAGTCTGCCTGTTCTGCTCCCCACTCTGTCTCTGGTGAATCCTCTCACACCCCCCCCCACAACTCTGGCCTGTACCCCAGCTCTTGTATGCATAGATAAATAAATCTTTTTTGTAAAAAAAAAAGTAAGTTAAGAAGGAGAATGAAAAGTTTAAAAACAAAATTCTCCAACTGGTGCCTCGATTAAAAATGTGAGAATTTTGGTTAAATTATTCATAGGCTCAGTTTCAGCTTTAAAAGCGGCAAGTCTAACGCTACTTAATATTTTTAGTATCACTTTTCTTTTTAGAATACTTTTAGAGAAAAAAATTAGAAAAAAAATTAGCCAAAATCACATCTCCAGGAGATTTACATTTTATACCTGGCTAACTCTGAATTTAAAAAACTGTATTTTCATCCCATCCTCCTCTCTGAGAAGGATTCTTCAACTAGCATCCATTTAATCCCGTGGAGGTTAGCAATGAGGGAAATAAGGGTAAGTTTAAAGGAATAAAAATGCTGATTGCTGACTCTTCTTGGTCTGTGCCCTGCAAGCCCAAGATAAATGTGTAGCTTTCTCCTAAAATACATTTGCTAATTTGCAGGTTTACTAGAAACACTATAGTGGATTTAACTAAAGAATGTTCTGAAACGCTTAAGTCAAATCCATTGATACAAAAGCATTTGTAACAATTTGTATCAAAAGTATGCAAGGCACCTGGAGCAGAAAATTAATAGATACAGTCTCTTAAGAGCTTCTGAGGGGTTAAGAATCCCTGAAGAAAATTACAGTCATGGAATAAACAAGATGATTTCAGACTGCGGTTACTAGAAAAATTAATATGATTCGTCTTTAAGCAACTAGGGCAAAGATTTGTGTGGGTGACAGAGGTAAATTCTTTAATCACTGATCAGCAAACACCTTTATGAAAACAAGATATTCTCAACTAAGACCTAAATGCCAACAAAAGCCAGTCATGGAAATGGACAAAGGAGAGGGCACCCCAAATATGCCATGTGACAGAAAATGGATAACAGCAATTACTATTTTTAAAATCTATAGGTATTTCTCCTTGTATATATGGATGGATTCAAATAGCCCTGGGTGGCCATTATACCCCAGACACAATTCACATGCCTAAGGCTAGAGCAGTCAATCTGAGAGACGAGGCGGTTCTACCCTCATGGAACTCACACTACAGGAAAAAAAACAAACAAAAACTACAGGGAATTACAAGATAAACACAGAATGTGATCAATCACAAGGAACAACCATGACACTAGAAAAGGGAGGGCGAAAGTCAAGGGTCCAGAAGCAGCAGTAATTTCTTCACTGCAAAGTTTTGAGGTTGGACTTTAATGCTGCTGAAAACAAACAAACAAACAAACTGTGATTACAGTATCAGATCCTTGGGACTGTGCAGGAACGGGAGATGGCGAATGTTCAGGGTCAAGTCTGAACTTGGCAAGTCTGAACCTGGCCTAAAGCAACAGGTTCCGACTCTGCTCAACCAATCTTACTTGCAGGGAGACACCAGGGGGAGGACATTGCAGATAATAACTCCTAGTCTTCTGTCTCTTCTGCAGCTGGGACAAGACACTGCTCTCTGTCTTTGGAAGCACTCCCATCAAAAATAAATTAATATGATTAGTGTGATTTCTGTTAAAACTCCTTACTTCCTCTCCCAGGTCATCTGCCTGCATTCTCCTCTCACTGTATTCCTGCCTTCTTTCTATTCCTTTGACACAAAGCTCCAACGCCTGTTCCCCCACAGCTCTTGTCTGAAATGCTCTTTGCTCTTATCCTCACAAAGCCCATAACCACTGGTATTCAAGTCTTAGGTGATATTTTACCCTCTGAGAGGGGTCTTCCACAAGCACCCCACTTGTTGGATTTTCCTCAGCAGTAACTGCAGACCTATATTTTATTGTTTACTATCTCTGTCTCGTTGATTTGATAGAAACTCCTCAAGATCAAGGATCATGTCTACTTGATCAGAGCTACTCTGTATCATAGAAAAGTGTCTATCATTGAAGATGCCCAAGAAATACTGCTGCATGAAGAATGAGCAAGCAAGAATGTGAAGGTCAGTGATGTCAGTCGTTAACTATGATAGAAAAAAGCACAAGAGAAACAAAAAAATCAAAGCTCCACGATAAATTTTGTTGCGTTTCGTTCTTTCGGTGGTGGTGTAGCTCCGAGACGAAACGAAACGCCTTTCACGTCTGTGGTCACAGAGTGTCCTGCATCCACTACACAGCTGTGATCTCTGTTAGTTGTAACACTGACGGCATGTCTCTTAGAGCTGCTGCTTATTTAAATTCTTGAAAAAAACACGAGGTTCCTTAAAGTTCAGCAGTTGTATATTTAATTACAACAGAATAAAATCATTTAAGGTCAATTAGCAGAACTATAATCATTGCCTGATAGGAAATTCTCATTTTTAATCAAACATACCAACAAATTTTAGTTAATATATTTTAGTGCCCAAACTGCAAAATGATTTTAAGACTATAAAGGTCTCAAAGACATGACAGGTACTGTAAGTTTTAATAAAATTCCTATCAAGCCCCCTGAGTAAACAGACAAAATGTTTTCACTACCATGATTTCAAAACATCTCAAATTTTTAAAAGTAGACCTTCCTTTTTAGAGCCTTTTTAGATTAACAGCAAATCCGAATGGATGTACACAGATCTCCCATATAACCTCAGCCCCCACCCCCATTATCAACATCTCCCATCAGATTATAATTGATGAACCTACATTTACAAATCATTTTCACCTAGACTTCATATTCCACATTAGGATTCATTCTTGGTATTGTATATTCTCTGGATTTTTACAAATATATTATGACAAATACCCACCACTATAGTATCAGAAAGCATAGTTTCACCCCTAAAAATGCTCTGTCCTCCACCAATTCCTGCCTTCTTTCACCATGGCAACCACTGACCTTTCTACTGTCTCCATAGTTTTGCCTTTTCCAGAATGTCATATAGTTGAAATTACATAGTGTAGCTTTTTCAGATTGGCTTCTTTCACTGAGCAATATGCATTTAAGCTTCCTCCAAGTCTTCCCATAGTTTGATCACTCCTTTCTTTTCAATACAGAGTAATATTCCATTGAGAAACAGCTTAAAATGTTAATTCCTTATCTAGGACATAAACTCTAGCTCAGCCTTTATGAGCAAACTGTAACCTCCTTTGTCTTTGTATCCTTAGCATGTGCCCTAAGAATAAAGTGTCTACAAAGACTTTTGGAAAGCATAATTCTTTTTTTTTGTTCTTTGATATATATATATATATATATATATATATCCATATAGATATATGAGTTATTTTGCCTGACTTCATAGATAGGAATTTATACTGAAATTACACTGACTTTATAGATTAATTTATTGCACATGCTTATTTTGCTTGGAAACATAAATGACAGTTTGCTATGACACTGTTGATACTTTTCACTTTAAAAAAATGCAGGCGCGCTCTTCATCAACCTTCTCCCTCTGCAAAGCAGCAGAGGCAGCTCTCTGCCCAAGGCTGTAGTCTGCGACTATGCACACTCTCTTTTAACAAACCTGTCCCTTTCAGGGCGGCTCTGTCTGCCCACTTGTGTCTGTGCAAGCATCCTTGACTTCCCTTCCTTCCCTTTTTATAATAAACCTGCCCTTTTGAATACATAAAAAAAAAAATCTCTAAGAGAGTATTTCTATTTCAATGCATACTGAGCTGCCTCAAACCTTGTAACCACCACACTACATTCCTTTACTGGCACGCATACAATTGAACCCATTCCCAGGGACAGTGTCTTAGGTTGACATCAAACTTTTGTAAGAAACAATGTCTGACCTTGTCTCCTATTCTAGTTCCCATTTCCCACAATAACACTAGAAAAACTGATGTCAAATTTATTATACATAAACATCTATAAATATTAAATTTTAAATAAAATGGATGTATTTCTTACTTTATTTTCTTAATACGTTCCAAAAATTCAAGGAATAAAGGCAAAGCTTGGCATAAACTGCTATTATAATGTAAAAAAAAGTTTATTATTTAAAATGTCCCTTTACTGAAGGACACTTCTGTGCACACTCCTAGGTCTCTTTAGACTTGTGAGACCATCTTAGACTATAGAGCAGAATAAAAAGCAGACCAGAAGATGAGGTCAATCTGTCTTCTATTTTCAAACTACTGCACCTTTATGGAGAGTTCACTCTATTAGCTAAACCATCAAAAGGTAGTACCTGATCGAGCAATGCCACTGTCCCTGTCTTCATTCTGGCCTCTGCTTGGCATGTCAACTGGTGTGCTGTGTGCTGAGATAAAGACAAAAGGAAACCATGTTATTGGACTCTCCACAGAAGTTTAAGAACAGCAGCAGTCATTTTTACATTTCAAAGTAGACTACCGCTATTGATTATTTAAGTCTATGTAGAAATTAACCAGAAAGCAAAAGTAAATACATAAAAAGAGGCTGGTGAGAATAAGACGAAAGCAGAATCAAGAACCAACTACCTTTAACTGTCTTACTATAGCATATAAATTTTTTTGAGTAATGTTCATCTCTTAAAAAAAACTGAATAATAAACTATTCATGCAGTTGATGCAATGAACAAACATTCTCAGGCAAATACTTTTAGCCATTTTCCTCATTACTAGCAGTATTTAAATAGCACTGTATCTCAAAATGCTTCATAATCAGCTTCAGTAGTAAATATAGTCAACTTAAGAGAAATAGTTGAAAACCATTTCATAAATTTAAAAAATGTTTCTCTGTCCATAATCCACTCTCTTTTGGCAGATAGAAAACACACATTCATTTTCAAATATTTTTTCCTCCATTTCTTTTCCAAATACATCTGTACCCAGTATTATTGTAGAGGTACTTAGAAAAAACTCATGCGCTGGCATGAATTTTGGAAAAGACTCTAAAGTATCACAGACTTCTAGGAAAGCTTCAGATCCGTCTAAACTTACTGAGCTGCAGGACAGATGAGGCTTTCCGATGTTCAAGAAGCCCAGGGCCCAGCCTGATTATTATACTGCTAGCTATTTTTTGAAGCATGTTTATTTTCACAATTTTAAAGAGTATATAAACATGTTATCTTCACTCAGAGTAGGTAGGAGGGTGTCAGTTTCACGAGGGTGTCAGTAAACTATGGTGCTTAGCATATTTCAGGATACAGGGTACAAATAACAACAGAATGAAGAATACATTTGCCATAAACACAAACCTTCAATGTTAGTAATATGGGAGTTCCCCACATTTGCTCATCATGCCAAGACTACAACAGACATTCAACAGCGTGAGCAAGCAAGACTCATTAAATCCCAGAATTTACCTTCCCAGAGAGACCAAGATGATCATACCTGTAAGAAACCTAGAAACTGCATTTAAACTACTCACATGTGAGAGCAAGAGTGAGAGCCAGAGCAAGTGATCATCCATGCTCTAATTAGAGTGACTTTTGAAAAACTGTGCAGGTAAGGATGCAGGTGAATAAATGGGTAAAAGATACCACAGCAAAAAGGAACATTGTATAGCAGAAGAGGCCCAGGAAAATCAGAAAATATAATCCTCTTAGAAATACTAAGGGCTCATTTGAGATCAAAATCAGCTTACTATGGGGTATTAGTCAAGACATTTACAATAGAGGTTCACTGGTGGAATTTTTCTGAATACCATGAACTTGGTTGCATTTGAAACTAATATCTCAAGAGCCCCTTGGATTTCTAAAGAGGCACCAACTAGGATTTTTTTTCTAAGGATCTGTACAGGATTTATTAATAAGTGTGTGGGTCACACTGTATTCAGCATTCCACACAAACCTGCAAAGAAAGAAGCACTCCGGGTGAGCCGGAGGGGTCCTCCGTCAGCTACCCCCTGCAGCAGTTTGCTGCTGCAAGCTTGCAGCAGACCTGGAGACAGAAACACACAGAAGAGGGCGAACAAAGTATACACACAAAAAAATAAACACAGATTAAAGATAATGCAAAAAAAAAAAACAACCAAAACACAAAACAACACAACAAACTCAAATAAAGCAAAACACACACCCACAGCAGTGGCATTCAGAAAGAAAGAGCCCATTTATGTGGCTGATTTTACCTAGGTTACTTGCAGTACGACAAGGACCCAAATTATTCTGATTTGTGTTCAGTTTTCCCAAATTAGGATCTTGGTTGATATATTCAAAGCTGTCTTGCAAGCTAAATACAGAGAGGACAAGGAAGGGAGAGAGAGGGGGAAAAGGTTGAGATGAATAAAACTGTTTTCTACCAGGCTCTCAAATACAACTTACCGGTCGCTCAGACTTTTCTTTGCCAATGAATAAAGTCACATTTACCAAAGTGAATTAAACTTTACAGCAATTTGTTGGAGGCCAAGAAAACATTTTCAGAGGTAGTTCAACAATAAAACTAAACAGACCATTTCTAACAACTTCATAATTCACTAGAGGACACCAAATGATACATTTTGGCTTTGGTGACTGACATGAGGATATTGCTATTCATTTCTAAATTTTGCTTTAGTGATTGACACACAAGATGTTGCTATTCGTTTCATGGACAATTTTACATAAACTTTCAAAGTGAATATATGAAATTATTTTCAACTCTTAGTTAACATCTATGAAAATTCAGCAACTATTTTTTTCTCCAGGAAGAGGACATAACATTAACATTTGATTTCAGAACTTTTCAAAAAAGAATTACACATAAACACAAACATCAGGTAAGAAGATTTTAGTAATTTATTGTATTCATTAACAAAGAAAAATAAAAAGACTTCAAGGATAATGTAGCATAATGAGGTCAAAGTAACTTTTGCTTAAACCAGAGTTCAATATTTTATTACAGGGAGTTAGTGCAATAAAGGTTCCAGGTAACATCTAGAATCTGTAAAAGTAAATTTCACAATAAACACCCACTCCCATATTGGCTTAGGGCTGGTACACCCAATGTTACTACACTTGATCTTAGCCAAAAGGCCGAGAAGCGATGGTACACCCAATGTTAAATGCTCAAACAGGTACATTTTTAATTTTGATAAGAAAGTAGCCTTAGTCACTGGCACCCAAAATTGAAGGAGGACTATAGTTCTAATTTCCCAGGATGATAAAAAATAACAGCATTCATGTGGCCTCTTTTATTACTTATAACAAACCTTTCCTTCAAACTTACCAAAGTGTAACAAATATTCTATTATTTTAAAAGAAATATATAATGTACTTCTGCTTTAAAGTTGAAAATATCTGAACAAATGTACCAGAATGAGCACATTTCAGCAGTTAGTCTACACAAAATTGTAATGTTAAAAATAAAAAGTGTAAAACTAGGGGACTCCCTGATGGCCTAGGGGTCTCAGTACCAACACTGTGTCTCTAGACATAGCCTGAGTGTGATCTCCAGCCATAGAGGTAGCCCACATGGCGCAGCAGACCTCTCCTGTCTGCCTGCTGCTCCCTTCAGCAGTGTATTTCAATCAGTCTGCCTGTTCTGCTCCCCACTCTGTCTCTGGTGAATCCTCTCACCCCCCACACCCTGGCCTATACCCCAGTTCTTCTATGCAAAAAAAAAAAAATAAAAATCTTACAATAAGGAATAATTCTTTATAAAAAAAATGTAAAATTACAGGGGAAAAGAATTCAGGAATGAAAATAAAATATTGCGTGGCCCAAGTCTGAGTCAGTCACAGAGGTGACACTGACAGGACTCAGAGGGGATCGCAAGTGGACCACGCACCCAACCTGCATGCTGATCAGGCCAGAGAGACTCCTATGCTTCATTCCATTAGAAATAAAAACACAAGGGGAATCCCTGGTGGCGCAGGGGTTAAGCACCACCCTACAAAGCAATACGCACCCTCTGCAGCACAAGTTTGATCCCCGGCCCTCCAAGAAGCAACCCACATAGCGCAGCAGACCTCCTGACTCTCCTGATGCTCCCCTCAGCAATATATTTCAGTCAGTCTGCCTGTTCTGCTCCCCACTCTGTCTCTGGTGAATCCTCTCAGCCCCTGCATCTCTGGCCTGTCCCCCAGTTCTTGTATGCATAAATAAATAAATCTTTAAAAAAAAAAGAAAAGAAATAAAGTCACAAATAAGTCTTTTTTTTTTTTAAAGGTAATACTGGGAAATACCACACGCTCATTCATGTGACCCCCTTACTTCCCCTTGACTTTTCATCTTGGAGGTAATGAGTAGGTAACTGGCAGGGTGGGTAACGGATGGAGACCCAAAACACATAAACAGACCTCTGTAAACTCAAAGACCTTTTCATAATCACTATGTGTTGGATGACAATGGCCACTTTTAAAATCCCTTTGTGAACACGGACATAATTCAAAAGCCCTCAGAGAATTCCTCTATCTAGAAATAGCTACTTTAAAAAATAGAGGGTGGGGGGCCTCAGAAGCAAACCCCACACTTACTTATTTGTGCTCCCACAAAAGCTGCCCATTCTAGCAGAGAAGACTTTACTAATCATCAGCTGTGGAGGAGAACTGGAGGGAAACAAGGGGAGAAATGCATTTTTGAACGAAGGAGTCAAAAATCACATCCCACTTTTCCCGACCAGGAGACAAAGCGGCCCAAACTCACCGTATATAGTGTATCTTTAGGGTAGAGCCTCTGTAACTCATCGCAACCGAACCAAACATCATTTCCCCCAGCATGTTGATATCAGAAGCTGGTCTTGTGTACTAATATGCATGAGAGAAACCAAAATCAGTCAGTGTGGGGCACTTCATGAGGCACCTGCATCCTTCCCTAGTTGAGCAGGTGATAAAAACCACTTCTCAAAGCAGCAAGTGATCACTTTATGGTCTTAATCCGGAAGGGTAATTGCCTCTTTCGGCACCAAATTACTGCTAATGTTCCTGGTTTCTTTCTTTACAGCAATATTTTTGCACAAGATGCAAGGGTCCCAGAGTGCATTTTGTCTAGTTACAAGAAACAAGCATCTTCCCTATCGCCATTACATACTCTCAAGAGAAGGCCTCGGTTATGGCAGAAACAGGGTGACTCTCCTCATGGTACTAAGAACACATCCTGAAGAGAAGTTCATTTCAGGAAGGGCTTTGTGAGTGTCCAAAAGATACCTCTAAAGTTTTACAAAAATATTAAAAAAAAAAATATGACCCCCTCCTGCTTCTACCAGACTTTCATGTCCCTCTTGTCATCCAAAGGGCGCCTTTACCTGCCCATCCTCATTTGTGTGCTCACTACTGCCGCCTCATCTGGTCACTCTCCTTTTTGAAGAACATGTCTGGAACAGGGCTGGTCCTCAGAGGGTACTCCTCCTCACTGTCTGCATCCTCAACCACTCCTACCATTTTGCTTAGTCTCTGCCTGAGACACCCCCACCATCCCTTTATGTCTAGGCCCAGGCCTCTCTGTGAGCTTAGACTCCTATATCCAGAGGCAGTGATTCACATATCATAGCATGTGCATAATACTGAAACATGATATGAAAATGAGCGCGTTTGGATATAGGAACCTAATCACCTATTCAAAGTGCTGGCTGACACACTGATGAGCAGGATAGACACGAATGTCAACCTCATCAGGCTGTCATGGGCGCCTAGCACAGCTTGGGCAGGACAAAACAACCGTGCCTCTGTAACCCAGCCCACAAGGCAGACTCTCTGCTCCTTTGCTTTCCACTCAAGTAAAAGCTCAAGAGTCATCCTTAACACTCTCTTCTAATTTTTTAACTCCAAATACATACAAAAATACAAATACATACACGCACAATTACCCACACACTGACATATGTACATACCTTGTACGTATTTGCAAAGGAGGGAAGAGAAACAAGGAACTATCAATCTCTAACACTAGTCTCCTCTCTGGTTAAAGTTTACACCAACCTCGTCTCACTACATGCAGACAGAGACCAAGCCTTTCGCATCTTTATTAGTAACTTCCACCCACCACTTCCATCTTTTAAACTGCTTTTTCTTGGAGCGCAAGGTCCACACACCAACTGTGATTCTCAACTACTTGAAATTTTCACTCTCTATTTTTTTAACCACAAACTGTTTTGAAACCCAAGAGCACTGTGAAATAAGGGCAAATCCCTGCTCCAAAGCCTGACCATGGTGTTGACAAAGTTCTAAAGCTCTGCGGCTGCTGGTAATTCCCCTATTTTGCTTTCACAGCAACACGGTAGACAAAATTATACATGGGTCCAAAAAAAAAATCATCATATTCTCCATCAACTAATACCCTTCTGTTACTCAAGAATTATAACATTTCTTCCCTGCTCTCTAGTTAGTCAATATTTCTCAGTAACCCTTGTCTCGCTCTCTTACTACTCACACACAGAGCATGAAAATTGCTACAAGTCTTTTATCCTTTGCACTCAAGGCAGGTCACCCCATTTCTTTCTTCTCTTATACAGGTTTTCTTCCCTCTTCTGGCAAATCCTATTTTCCTCGATGCCCAGATGCATTTCTAGAATCCTCAAAGTTCTTATAACAAAACCGGGAAAATGCATGTTTATTAATCAGGCTGACAACAAACCAAGAGGCTTTACCTCATTTGCAGCATTTCTCCCTCATCTGGCAAGTATTATGCCGGCTCGCCTTGACTTGATTACAAATTTTTAATGAGAGATAAAAACCAAGTGTAAAAATAGCCTGACACGAAACATTCCGGAGCACATTTTTCACTACTTTGTCTCATATTCATGGGGTCAAACCCTCAAGCGGGCATTCTTCCCTATGGAGAAACTCTAGTAAATGATTTGAGCCTCACGGGATGTTCCACATAGGAGGGATTGCTTTACCTGGTACTTGGGAAGCTGCTCCTTCGCATTTTGTAAAGACCCTCCCAAAGAACCATGGTAGGAGAGGTTGCTGCTGTTGCTGCTGTTGCTGCTGCTGCTGCTGCTGCTGCTGCTGCTGCTGCTGCTGCTCCCACCGCCACCACTGCTTCCTTGGCAGCACTTGGCGGACATTTTAATGGGGCCATCCTCTGTTTTCTGGGTTAAGAGAGACAGGCACGATCAGTGCTGCTGGGAAGGTCAGGTTTCCCCCAAACGCCCTTCACTGGGAATTCCTTTGTTTAAACAATCTGTCATGTCATGTATAAGTGGCATCAAAATCCAGCTTTTTCCTTTCCATGGTTTCCCCCTTTTCATTGGTGACAAAAATGTGGTTATTGAGAGTTTATGATATTTTGGGTGGGGGGATGCTGATGAGGGTACTAGAATGAAGGTGAGGTTTATATATTAAGATTTTATTCTGCTTAAATTGGTTAATTCATATTAATTCATTTTAATTCATATTTTAAAATCATCAATGTGGGGCCTCCCCGGTGGCGCAGTGGTTGAGCGCTGGGTTGCGAAGCTGCCCGCGGCCTCTGCAGCGCCGGTTCGATCCCCGGCTGCTCCCCGGCCACCGGAGGAGGGTCCCACATGGCGCGCAGACCTCTCCTGCCGCCCGCTGCTCCCCTCAGCAGTGTACTTCGGTCCTTCTGCCTGCTCTGCTCCCCGCTCTGGCTCTGGTGAATTCTCTCACCCTCCTGCGCTTCTGACTGTACCCAGTGCATGTATAAACAAAACAAACAAACAAACAAATAAATAAATAAATAAAACATGCCTCTATTAAAAAAAAAAAAAAATCATCAATGTGATCTGATTTTGATTCAGGTTATTTAGAAGATTTTCAGCACCGTGTAGAGTATTAATCTCTAAAACTGCTAAGGATAAAGATACTGCTTCAGATGAAAATTTTTACTAAGTAGAAGGAATTAAGAAAGGAAAACTATTAATTTGGAAGGACTAGGTTTGTGTTTTTAAAGACACGCCTACTTTACCACTACCTTAAAGGAAATAGGAAAGAAAATCATGAGGTCAAGTTTGTGAAAGATGAAGCCAAAACTCTGAAATAGTAGCTACTGTGATGCATACAGCATGTGATAGAAATGTGAACTGTAAGGTTAGGGGTTATAGAGAAATATCTTCTACAGATCCCCTAGATAGAGTTCACTGCTAACATAAAGGTATAAAGACGCACCTCTATTCATTTTAACTTTCCTCCTACAGCAAAATATATCCGTCCCTACAGAAGCCTCCTGCACTCTATGACAAGTTGTTTCTATTCTGAGTGTTGCTTTTCTGTGTGCAGCTTTTGCTTGGGAAAACATGAATGCGGCTGCAGCTTATCTAATCTCCAATGTGACAGTCACACTGGTGGTCTAATGCAAATGACTGCAGTCATATGCTTGAGACAAACTCATGATGTTTTGCCCTTGCCACTGGTTTGGGGGGAGGGGGGTTGCTGAAAATGGGAAAAGAATGCAGAAAAACACAAACTGCTGGCCCCGTCACTGCAGCCCAGGCGGCCTGTGGAGGGGCGCTGGACATTCTGCGCACGAGCCTGCCCATCACACCTCTGCAGGTCCAGCTGTTACTCAGCACCACCTAGGCTAGAAACACAGCCCCTGGGAGAGGCCAAGGTAATGTGAGGTCCACACTGGCCTTGAAGTGCTCTGGCTAAGGTTACAACACACCGAGCAGGCTGCAGTGGAGATAGCTCCTGATGCGGGGAGCACTGGCCTGACTCACCTCCTCGCAGCCCAGCACGCGTAACAGGCCTCTGGGGACCTAAGTTGCCTTTTTAGCTCAGTGAGGCCCTTCCCGGAAAGCTGAAGTCCCAGACTCCAGTGTCATCACCGCTCTGATGGAGGACTCCTAGTCCTGTGCCCTCTGAAAAGCGGTGAGAATGTTTTGCCTTCTACCTGTTACCACCCCAGGAGCCCCTGGGAGGAATGTGGGTGTTCAGCCATCTGTGCGAGGACTTTGGGGGAAACCAGAAATGATGGGGGAAATCAGGGAGAACCACGTCCTGTCCACCAAACAAAGGTCAAGCACTGGCTCACCTAAACTTTGATATAAATCTGCCATGGAAGCCCACAGGTGACTCGCCTGAGACTCCGCAGCCCTCCCTCTACCCACCTAACAAGCGCAACAACTACTGTAATGATTAGCTCCTGGCGAAATTCCACTTCAAAGCACTGTGGCATCCACCCAGCTAAACTGTCTCTAACCAAACAATCCCTTCCTGCAGAAATGATCCCTATCAAAGGCAGGAAAACAGCTCCTTGGCCTAATGAGACAAAAACCGTGATACAAACTATTCATTTACCTCCACAGGCTCTAAACTGGTAGAATTTGGTCAGAACAGGCAGCAAAGTGCTGAACATGAAGACAGGAAGTGCAAATGGATTTATTTAAGCTGCAGGCATCTGAATAACTACTAAAAAGAGGATGGAGGGACTAGCGGTGACAATACGGAAGTACTTTGGAATAGTGTCCTGAAGACTTACAGAGGACCAGCCTCGGCTCCTCACCTGACATGTCACTTGCGCCTTTCTGTTCTGGCTCCAAGGGTCCCCCCAGAGCTGCCCTGTCTCATTCCACCCCTGGTGCCCCCACATCCCAGGCCAACCCCACACCACCACTCCGCCCTACACAAACACACACATCTACCCCAAAAACAGTGGTTTCCTTGGTGAGTGAGTTTGAGAAGCAATCCACTTTGATTGGTAGCGCACTGAAGCCCTAGAGTGAAGAAAGCTATTAAATTTTGGTTAACCCAGTACTAAGTATCTCTCTTACTATTTAGGAGAAACATTGGACCGAATGATATAGTACCGTCCCTTAGGCTAATACCTTATGAAATTTAGAGTTCTCAGTTTTCCCATTACAAGGCTCATACTTGGCATCAAAATCCTACTAGATTGAAGTCACCACCAAACTCGCTCCTATTTACAGTTGCAATACACTGCTTAGCGTCCGTCATGATTGTGGGTTAACAGATTTACCTGTGTATTAATAAAAATACAAATGTGGGAGTGGGGAGGGGTCTTTGTTTATGTTAGTTCTGAACCATGAATAGCAAGGTACAATATAACCCAAGGAAAGGAATACAGATTAATAAGTGACTCGACGGTGGTTAGAAGCACACCCAAAAAAGATGACAGCAGATCCACATTTCATACCTGAGTTGCTGCGTCTTCAATCTTGTGAACAGCTTTAGAATCAAACAGGACTTGCCTGCCTCTCCTTTCACAGTCCTGGTAAACTATCAGGCGAATCTCATTCAGATCAAACTCTGAACATGACCAACTGTGGATCAAAAGGGAGACAAAAGTCACGTTATCTTCAGCACTTGGGATGATCATGAGAGAGGTTTCCTGGCCAGAGCTCTGCATGCATGTCAGAAGGCTACGAGTGTGGGGCAGACCGTGAGGCCCCCCCCCCCAAGCCTGGGCAGCAGCCCTGCCTGTGGATGCCAATGGGCTGGGCAAATATTGCCAGTGTCCCCCCCTGACACAGCTGAGGGAGACTGCTGTAATCACCTGAGAGGAAGCTTTTCTTTGCAAAGCCAGATGGGTAAAGATGGGCACCAGGAACAGCAAAGATAAGCAGAAAGGCAAAACTTGGCCACGCAGGTTCTAGAGACGGCAGACCTGGGGCGTGTCCAGATTTCTGTGCCATCTGGCAGGGACCCACCTGGAGCTGGTTAGTAGAGCTATCGCCTCTCTTCCTCCCCATCCACCCAGTTCAGACCAAACTGCTAGGAATTACATTTCCTCATTTTACTATTTTCCTCTGATATAGAAGTTTGAAAACCGATGTCTCACTGTACGACACCCGCACTGCTGACAATAACAATTGGCAATGAAGGAAGCCTGGCATGTTCCTAAGCCATCGCTATAAAACTGCTCTAGACATAGGTTTGCTCTTGAGTAATAAATGATCAGTAGGCAAGAAATATAGAAATCGGAATCATTGAAAATGCACTGCCTTGGGTAGAATCAGTTATTAGTCTGTCAATCCATTCAGCACATATTTGAGAGGCTACCATGTTCCAGGCACTGAGGTCAATGCTAGAGATTCAACAACTAATTAATCAAGCCAACTTAGTCCCTGCCGTCATGGAGTATATGGTTTAGAGGGAAATATCAGGCTAATAATCAATATAAATGTGTAACTACAGACTGTCAGTTGGAGAGAGGGCAAGGTGGCTGGCAGCACCAGGACCAGGCCCCACACCTGGTGTGAAACCATGGTAAACAAAGGCTCATATGCTGAAGCCTACACTTTTTAAAAACTCAGTCTGGCTGCACAAAGGAAAACTGTGGTAGGACAAATTAGGACGGATTGCAGAAAGGTCAAATAAAATGTATTATAAGAATTCAGACTCTTCATACTGAAGGCAAGCGTGATAGCAACAGAGGGTGAGGGCATGAGAGAAGCACGTGGTCACGTTCCGTGGTGACGGGATGGGCCCTAGCAGCAAAAGGCAGCTTAGAAAACTCTGGGGAAGGAGTTTTAAGGGATGGATGATAGGGGGATAGTTAGACAGACTAACAAAAGCAAACCGTAAAGCTCAGAGACAGTATAGCTGAAGTGAAGTCAGACATATCTGCATTGAACTCCAAACTCTCCGAGCTTGCATCCCTTCATCGGCACAGTAAGAATCTCAAGCTACCCTCACAAAGCTGCTGTGGAATTTAAAGGAAATATGTCAAATGTGTCACACAGAGATTGATGCATGTCTAAAATAGTAGTAATTAATTAAGAAAGATGTTCGTGTTATGATTTTTGCTTATACTGGTACCCATCATAAACCACGCATTATTGGTTCTTTCCTTGGAGCAGTGGTGCTTCCCATGGAGCATGTTCTTTTAGGGGAACAGATTTGTTTTTTTAAATCCCAGGACTGAAAAACACAAAGTTCTGGTTGTACCTTCTTTTAACAAACTGTTCTGAGCTGCCATGCCCAGCAGCCTTTCTACTAATTTTGATAATAACATGGCAAGTTTATTTTGGAAATTGTTTTTCCTCAACTCAGTCCAGAGGTAACCCATATTCCCTCCAGACTATGTACGCAGAAATAACCACGTGAGACCCCAGCAAGGCTGAAAACCAGTCCCAAAATATACTTGCTCAACTGGTAATCAGTAACCCTTGAGCTGCTGGTGCTTATTTTTGCCAGGACAAGGTGAGAGCCTGTCTGAAGAGGACGTCAATGTGGAGAGCAGATGTGGCCATGGATGAGCCAGATTCCTTGACCAGAGCTGGCTGCTCTGAGTACTAGTCCTGGAGTCAGATCCTGTCAGTTACACCAAGAAAGTCCTGATACCCAGACCACTATGTTTTAAAATTATGTAAGATCATTACAAACACCCTCTGAAATTATCGTACGCAGTACACATGGTGAAGTTATTAAAAATGACAGAGCAAGAAAGATTTCATTGCCTTATTTCCTTGTTCAACCTATTTTGCCCCAACAATTACATTTTGCAAGAATAGCATTATAATTTATTAAATCCTCATTTTTGAGGGATAACGCTGACTCAAATATTCATCAAATTGAGGACAGCCTGCCTAGTAGAGCTAAACTTTAATAATAATCACAATTTATTAAATACTCCTTATTTATTAATTTTAAAAGATGGAAATAAAAAACATGGGAAGTGTGTACATTAGGTTATCCTTTTTTTTTTTTTTTTAACCCAAGTACCTTAAAAAAGTATTTTATAAAGTGCCAGGAAAATGCTATTCTCCTTCCACAGGAATATTGTTTTTGGTTTAAGACCTAGTTATAATTTTGACTTTCCCCAACACTAACCTTAGGGGAAGACAGTGGAGGACTTTGGTAAAGGAAATGCAGGAAGACAAAGCTTAAATGAGTTCTTCAGAAAGAGACAGCTCTGCCCCCTACTGGATTTCTAGCCGTGGGGAAGCCCCCCCGCAAGCAGCACTGGTAGGAGCCACTGAGAAGATCAAGTGGGATAATCTGCAGAGATTGCCCAGCGTCCAGCCTTCTCCCTACCATGCCTGGACAGCTGGGGCTTCTATTCACTTCATGTTCGCACTCACTTCAACATTCAATCAGCAGTTTCTGTGGCGCCTCTGCCAACACCAACCCTGACCCCAGAGGCTTTACTAAGGGCAACTCTCTGCAGGTTTCAGAGATGCGTGAACATTACACCTGGGGTTTTTGCCTTAAAAAATGACTATTTTAGGAAAAATGTATTCGAATCAGAACAACGTCATTCTTTGCTTTTGCTGAAAGCGAGGAAAGAGCACTCCCTGGGGCATCGGGGACAGGCCATTATGTGTTCACTTTATGGTCAGAGCTATATGACCTGCAGCAGAAGAAAATAAGATAATGTGTCTACATTTTCTTATTGTAAATTTAAACAAAATGATTTATATGGACCCCTTTCGGTTTCAAAATCCCACAATGCTAAGTTTTCCTTCTTTGGAATGGAAACCGGGTTTTACTTCTGGAACTGGGTATCTATAGCAGGAAGCAAGTGGCCAAAGTCTAGCTTACTTACCATAAAAATAGAATTTTATTTAATATGTATATAAACCTGTGCTTGGGCTCAACTGTATTCCCCCTCGAAATGTACTCAAGCCCTAATTCCCGGTATCTCTGAATACCATCCTGTTTGGAAACAGGGACTGTGCAGATGCAGTAAGTTAAGATGAGGTCAGACTGCATTAGGATGAGCCCTGATCTAATGACTGGAGTCCTCAAATACACAGGGAATTTGGGCCTAGACACAGATGGAAGATGGCTATGTGATGACAGAGACAGACTGGAGTTGTGCTACTAGAGGTTAGGAAGGTCAAGGGATGCTGGCATTAGGTGGCACAATAAATAAGAAATATGTAAATCCCTATGCTCAAGGAATAAAACTCTAGAAGGGGCAGTCATGTAGGTAACTAGATGAAAACAACAGGGCAGGGCAGAAGATAGAGAGCAAGAGGGGAAATCAGAAAAATCCCTGGGTGAAGCAATATATGAATAATGAAGTTAAGAAGGCTGACAAGGGTCAGACATGCAATGATGAATGGCGAGTCCCTGCAAACTAAGAGCAGAGCTCAAACACAAAAAGCCAAATGGTACAATGTCAAAGTCTTGAGCGGCTGGAATATGTCTCCTGCAGAGAATTACAGGAAAAGAGGCTGCAGAGACAGCTTAGGGCTACATGGGGGTGGAGGATGGGAGGTACTGCTAGGATGCTGTGCCAGAACTTCGTTCTATGAGCAGTGGCATGCCATTCTAACTTTCTGAGAAAGAGAATGACATGATCTGGCTTGCATTTTAGGGGAGAGCAAAACTACCTTGAAAAAGCCATTTTCAGGACACATGGTATGGAGGTAGTGGCCCACATACCTAGGGTTTCCTCAGTCATGGCTAATAAGGAACAGAACAGTAGGTATGTGGTTTGTTGCAGGGAAACTTGCTGCCTCCTGCAGACCAGTTCTAATGTTGGTGTCTGATTGTGCTCTTGAACTTTTACAGGAATCAGGCTAGAAATGGACCCAATGGAACACGAGGGGGCATGAGCTTTGGAAAAAGAATACTTTGAAAGTGTTCCCCCTCTTGTTCTGGCACAAGGACACAATCCTACATCATCAGAAATCAGTTCACAAGAAGAGCTTAAGGCAGCAGTCTTATGACCCAGAGATGTGAATGCTTTAAGAGTCAGGAATGGCAAGAAATGTTAACTGGCCCAAGGAAAGGTAAAAAACGATACAGAACAAGTAATACCAACCAAAAAACACACCAAAATTGCAAACATTACCCATCTAACAAGTAGCCCCTGCACTGGAACTAGGTGCCAAACTTTCTTCCCACACTGGGATAAAACAGTGAACAAATCAAACTCCTGCTCCTATGCAACTTTCTAGATCTATGATGACATTTTCCAGCCACTCTTAAGCCCTATGCTGTGTTCTTTTCTCTACCATCCCTGACGACCTCCCTTTCTCTCTCTCTCTCAAAAAAAAAAAAAAAAGTTATAAAGTACAAACAGAAACACTTTCAAAAGGTTTGCTCAATAGCAGTAAGGAGGTCCTAATGACTATTACCTGAAAATAAAAAAAAAAAAAGACTAAGGGTAAAAGGAAAAATTAGGCTTCAGCTGTAGTCAGAATTCACTGTCAGCACAAATTTACATTATTTCCCACCAGTAACAAGCTATTTATTTCAAGGAAAAAAGTTATGTGAATAGATGGCAGTAACAAATTTAGAATTCATTTATTTTTTGCTAGGCTAGTGCTCTCAGGAGACAGCTAGGAGGAAAATCAATTAGTTACAA